AACACTTATACTATAACTTACTGTCAGTCTTTTAAATTTTAGCCATTCTTGGGGGTGTGCATAGTATTTCAGTACTATTTCAACTTGGATCTCCCTTATAAATGATGGTGTTAAGCACCTTTCCATATATATTTGGTTATGTGGATACCAACTTTTGTGAAGTGTCTATTTAGGTTCCTTGCCCATTTTTCTGTTGGGCCATGTGTCTTTCTAATACTGGTTTGAAGAAGTAGTTCTTTGTGTATTCCAAATACAAGCTCTTCAACTATATAATACTGTAAATATATATGCTATAAATATTAATATATTCTAGCTCTATAGCATGTCTTTTCTCTGTCTTTTGGTAAGAAGTTCTTAATTTTGATGTAGTTCAATGTATTATTTTTACCTTTATGGTTAGTATTTTTGAGTACTTTTTAGGAATATTTTTCTATCCTAAGATTATAAAATTATTATCTTATGTTGTATTCTAGAAGCTTTGTCAGTTTATGCTTACGACATTCTATTTGGAATTGATTTCATGTATACAGTGAACTAGAAATATCTTTTTCTAGTGGATATTCCATTTCCCAGAACCATTCAATTTAAAACAATAGTCTTTTCCCATTGTCTATAGTGCCACCTTTACGATAAATCAAATGTCCTTGCATGTGTGGGTATTTGATGTATTTGCCATTGTGCCAATACTCACTGTCTAAATTAACATAACTTTGTAGTAAGTCTTGCTATCAGCTACAATACATCTTCTCACCTCATTTGATTTCTTTCTTTAGCTGATTAATATTCTCTCACATACACAAACACAAAACCACTGAGATATGGATTGGTATTACATTGAATCTACAAAACAATTTGGGGAAAATTGGTATCTTTCAAAATTGAGTTTTCCAATCCATGAGCATGACATAAATTTCCATTTATCTAGGTCTTCTTTAATTTCTCTCATAAATTTTTATAGTTTTCAGTGTAGATCTTGAACATATTTTGTTAGATTTTTTTACTGGGCATATAATATTATGATACAATTGTAAATGGCATTTTAAAATTTTCTCATTATTTGCTGCTGATATATAGAAATAAATTTATATATTGCCTAGTATATAGATACCTTATTACATTTATGTATTTTAATAATTTATAGATTATGTCTGACTTTGTACATGTACAATAGTACTGTCTTTGAATAATGATGTCTTTATTCCTTTTCAATGTTTATACATTTTTTCTTTGTCTTACATTGTTTAATCACATAGAAGTGATTATCATAGGCATCCTTTCTCAGTCTCAATAATACAATAAAAGATTTCAACATCTCTATTAAATATGATGTTCACTGTGGGGTTTCTGTAGCTAATCTTTATCTGCTTTAAAGTACCTTCTAGTATTAGTTTGCTACAAGTTTTATTATGAATGGATGTTTAATATTTTATCAAATATTTATATATCTATTGAGATGATCATATGATTTTTCTCTTTTATTCCATTTATGTGATGAATTACATTGATTTTCAAATGTTTTCAAATGTTAAAATATTCCTAGAATAAGCACAAATTGGTCATGATATTATTTCTTGTTATGTTATGATAGATTTGCTATGTATTTGCTATGTTAATATTTGTTTATGATTTTTGCATCCATGAGTTAGATCTTCATGAGTGAGATTAGCCCTTATTTTTTTATAATATCCTTTTCAGAATTTTATATCAGTGTTATGCTGTCCTCATAAAGCACATTGTGAAGTGTTTCCTTGTTTGCTATTTTTTGGAAAAATTTATTCAAAGTTAGATATTTTTCTTCCTTAAAAGTTTGGTATATTTACAAGTGGAGTCATCTGAAACTCGAGTTAACTCTGTGGGAATTATTTTTAATTTTTAATTATTATGGTACATAATATTAAATATTAATAAATTATTTTTAAATCTTAAAAAAAATAGATTCTTTGCCTAGGCTGATATCTAGGAGTGTTTTTCCAACATGTAAACATTTTCTTCTAGTATTATTATGGTTTCATGTCTTACATTTAAGTCTTTTATTTATTTTGAATTAATTTTAGTGAGTGGTGAGAGATAGGGATCCTGTTTCAATCTTATGCATGTTTCTATCTAATTCTTCCAGCACCATTTATTGAATAAAGCTTCTTTTCCTGAATGTATATTTTTATCTGCTTTGTCAAAGATCAGATGGCTGTATGTGAATGGTTTTATATCTAGGTTCTCTGTTCTGTTCCATTCGTCTGTGCCTCTATTTTTGTGCCAATACTATGCTGTTTTGGTTACTATAGTCACGTAGTATACTTTGAAGTCTAGTAATATGATGCCTCACTATCTCACTGAGATTGTACCTTTTCAAGGGTCCCAGCTTTTTGCTAGAGTTTCAGACTGACTACTCATCTTAAATGGGTCTAAAACCTCATTTCTTCTCCATTTGTGGACATAAATACTCAAGCACCTAGTCATGTTATAGTTGAGTCTAATAGCCATGAAGACTGCCAGATGATGGACTCATATGTTTGCCGGTTTGACTCTTAGCATCTTCTTTGCTTCTGGAACTTGAGAATTTCTCTTTTTGTGAGAGAAGACATGGAATTTTTAAATTATTACATTATATCCAACATTTCTAATAGTTTACATCAAGATTGTTGAAGAATAGCCTAGTCTGCCATTTTGCCAATACTATTTACCTACTCCTATTACTTTTCAGACAAAAACCAGAATGATACACTTCCTTATGCCTAACATTTATAGTTGCGTAAAGCAATATATGGAAAATGTTTGCCTCTAATTATTCTAGTCTGCTCTGACTTGACTGGCTTTGACCATTTAGCTCACTAATCTTAGAAAGGCCCTTTTGGTTCAGCGTTTAGTGTCTTGGGAGGAGGCCATTAAGGGGAGTAGAAAGACAATCCCAGCTTCACTACAAGAACTGAAATTTATAAATCCTGATTATCAGTCAGAGATTCAGACCAAGATACAAGGACCAGGGGCTCTTTTGAAATAATTCTGCCTGAGCTACCTCTTATTAGCAAAGGCCCACCTTTTAAAAAAATATTTTTCTATGTCCTAGACTTTTCTTACAATCTGATGATCCCACACACAGCTTTCCATTCTCTCTTCTACCCATTCCAATCTGACTTTACATATATCACTTTATTTGTACAGTTCTTCCTAAAGTAACAAATAATTTCCACGTTGATAAATCCCATGAGCACTTCCCTGCCTGAGTCTTACTTGATCTTTCAGCAATCTTAGATATAGCTAACTACTCCTTTCTTGAAAAGTGTCCTCTTTGGGTTATAGTTACATCACAATATCCTGGATTTCTTCCTATCACTCACTGCCCTCTCCATCCCAGTCTCTCTTCTTTTTCTACCTGATCTTTAAATCATTGAATGCTTCAGGGCTCATTCCTGGGGCTTTTCTCCTGTCTCTCGTTAGGGATATCAACCAGTTCCATGCCTGTAAATACTATCTATGTGCTAATGACTGCCAATTCTGTATATCTAACTCTGGCCTGTGAGAATCATGTATCCTATTGCCTAAATTGACATCTTCACTGATTTTCTATACATATCTTAAGGTTAATATGTTTGATCTTCCTCCTTTATTTTTCTCTCAGCCTTTTGCATTTCATTATTGGCAGCATTGTCTATCCACTTACTTAAGCCAAAATTTTATTTTTACCTTTCCTCATCCCCCATATCCAATCTTGAAGAAATCCTATTTGGTTATACCTCTAAAATATATCTCAAATCTGTCCAATAGCTCTGTAAGTTGTAAATATTTTTATTTCTATTGTATTCTTATACAAGCAGAGATTAAGAGAGCATGTTAGTAAATTGCCTAAAGGTACACAGCTATGAAGCAGAGGAATTAGGCATGCAGGTATCTTTATGTCAAATCTACTACTCTTTTCATCATACCCTGACCCTCGAAGAATACTTGTTAATAAATTAGTGAACAGATTGATCCAGATTATAATAAAATCTATAATTATGGCTTATCAGAAGAATAGTACCAGTTATTGAAAAATAACTCTGCTATCTATGTAGTATATTAATATCAATACTTCATAATATATAAAACCAGTTTCAGAATTTGAGACTATGAAAGAGACAACCTGGTTTCTAAAACACCCTCTTTTTCCTTCAAGGATATATGACCAATTATACCCAAAACCTACTGTATTCTTTCAATAGGCTTTTATCCTACTTCTCCTACTCCAGCAAGGGAATTAGATCAAGAAAGAGGCTTGCCAAGCTTTTATTTTGGTTTTTCTACTGTCATGATTTTATTAATATTCAATGTTTCGCACATAAAAGTCAAGGGGACAGAGGAGAGAACCTCAGCAGAGCCAGTACACGCCATCATTATATTGGCTAAATACTGAGCAACATTTCAAGATAAGAAGGCCATGTACTTTAATCAACCAGGAGTCATTGATATGCTCAAAATAAATGCAAATATTTTTAGTATGATCAGAGAAACTGGTTGATTGCCGTCATTGGCAGCTTTACCTTTTGTATATCATGAATTTTATTAGTAAGTTATCTTTCCAATTATTGAACCTGTCTTTCTGAATTAAGTTAGGACAGTATTTTGCTGAGATTTATTCCAAATGATTTCTTACAGTATCACAAAATTCCTGCAACATTATTTGTGATCTTACCCAATTTTTAGTGAAACACACTTGGCATTTGTTTGGCATTAATTTCATTTCTAATCATTGAATGCCATTATCATTTTATGGACTTTTCAAAATCAATTTGGCTTAGAGTTTGTTTTATAAAATCTTAACTACCTTTTTTGTTTACAGAGTCCCTTGTACATTCAATCAGATGCTAGAGATCTTTGTGACATTTTGTTTATATAAAATGTTTATAAACATTTTGTTTAAAATATAAGTATAAACTGGGATTTTTGATAATTCTAATGTTTTGGGGAAAGAATCTATGCAGATTTTAAGAAAATATGTCAATATATCTTCTTTGAATCTCCCGCAGAGCTCTGTACCATGGAGTGTGGAAGCCATGGGGTCTGCTCAAGGGGAATTTGCCAATGTGAAGAAGGTTGGGTAGGACCAACATGTGAGGAACGTTCCTGTCATTCTCACTGTGCTGAACATGGCCAATGCAAAGATGGAAAATGTGAGTGTAGCCCTGGATGGGAGGGCGACCACTGCACAATTGGTAAGTACCACCATACTTTAACCAAAGTAAATTGGATTAATTGAAGTAATAGTAGTTTAATGAGTCAATCTCTAGGCTCTTAGTAGAGTTTGAGATTGGAGAAGAGGAGGAGGAGGAGGGTTGGTTATAAGTTGGAAAGTTTTGTGAACTAGGAGGTTTCTTGTTTCATTGATAATATCCTACTTATTTCTTGTGTCATTTCCTTTCTCATTACTTCAGTATTCCTAATATTTTCTGCTTTCAAGTGCTTTGAGTTACTCAAGTGAAAGATGATACATTGGAATAAAGTGTCATTAGTTAATAAGAGAAGTGTTTTTGTTGTGAAGGTAACATTCACTGCCCATTTTTCCTTTTGAAAAGTATAGGTTGTTTTGGTTGAAAGCACTTAGAGGCAATTTCATTAAATGGGACTACTTTAACAGGGGCCATTCAGTGTCATTAGATGCTGTCTTTAATGTATATGAGGAAGGCACTCCTGACCTATCATCAATAGAACATTTATGTTGAATTGTTTATCTGGTAGTATAGAGAGTTGGTACTGAAGCATCCACCCTGTCTCACCCCTTGTCACCAATTTCACAAATTTTCAGGATACTGTCTGGGAAAACAGTCTCTGGGCATGAAAAAGCCTATGTAATAATAAATCTATCATGTGATATTCACACTATAAAAAGCATTAATAATAATTAAGATTAGTTATAAAACACTTTATTTTTCTGAAAAACAATCAAAACCCTTGACATATACACATATCTTCCACAAAGGTTTCTTGTATATAAAGAGAGACAAGTACAATTCCCATTGTTTAGCTGAGGAAAGTGGGTCACAGAGTGCTCCAGTGGCATTCCATGAGTACACAGAAAATCCATGCAGAGCAAAGGGAAACATAGGTCTCTGGATAACCAATTCATTGTGGGCCTTTCCCCCCCACTAGACTGTACTTTAGCTTTCATTTTTAAGTGAAAGTATTTTTTTATAATGGTTGGAACCTGCCAAAGTAATGTATAATATATATAACGCATATAACATATAATCTTAATAAACTGCATTATTACTCTACTAAAGGTACAGTAAGTCTTGTTCTGTGACTGTGGAAAATATTTAAGATTCATTAAAAGGTGGTGAGGGGCGAGATTCAGATGCAGCATAAGTAATTACATTCCTGCACTACAGAAAGTTTATTGCTTTCACATAAGAGAATTTAAATATTGTGATGATTACCAAAGGTGGTTACTCCAAAACTCCACTCTAAAGATATTACTAATAATAAGTTGAAGCTAGTGCTCTTTCACAAAAGTTGTTACTGAAATGTAAAAATGCAGTTCTTATACTTTTAATGAAATATGACACTTTTTTAGGAAGCCTAATAGAGTTTCTTACAGAAAAGCCATTAATATCTTTCCCACAGAAAATATCATTCACAAATTACACAGGCCAGTGTACCAACTTTTGAGCTGCAGGCATTTAGGCATTTCAGCAGTTCACAGTTTGCTGTTCTCCTCCCAGGCAACAGATGGTAAACCATTAGTACATGTTGTATAGTTTTGGTTTCCCAGAAATTCATTCAATCACTCTTTTCCCCCCCCTTTTAGCTCACTACTTAGATGCTGTCCGAGGTAAGATTTTTCTCACCAGTTTTATAACAAATATATTTTAAACAGAAAATATACATGTGGGAAAGGAAGGGTGGCATTTTGAGGGGTTGTTTGGTTGTTTTGTTTTTACTTGTGGCAATCTTATTTAAGTATAATATTGTCAGTATCATGCTATAATGGTCGAACTAAAGGTAATTTGTTTTTCTGACATCAACAAGTCACATTTTGCCATAGTATAGAATGGACTGATAAGCAATTTTAAGGACTGTTTTTCCTTACGTTTATATTGAGTTGTGTGTGTCTATGTGTATAGTATAGGTAATTATCAATAAACTAGGTTTAGTTAGATGGCTGAACTTTTTCTTTAATATAACAATATAGCCCCAAGTCCATATACAAGGACTATTAAGTCCTTACAAAGGCAGAAGAATTATACCCCTAGAAGTACCCCATCATCCAATCACTCCAGAGGTCTGCCTTTGACAGAGACAGCAAAGATTTTTCTGTCAGATATCCTAGTGCCTTTCATTACCTCAGCTGCAGAAGTCGAATATGTCCCAAATTATCTTTAATTTCTCCTTATCTATTGTCTATGCATTAGAATGGAAGTCCATAAAATTCCCTTCTCGATCCTGTGTATGTTCATCCTATGCCACATCATAAGGATATTATATACATAAAAAACCTTTTCATATTTTTAACAGCCATCTGTCATTTTGCTGTCGAGTTTTTTCTTCCCCTAGTCCATTGATAGTTGCTTGGAAAATTATTTGGAAGGAACACTGGGTTACTTCTATAGATTTTTTTCAAATTTATTATTTTTTTTGTTCTTTATACTTTGAGAATTTTCTCTCATAGACAGAAAACGAAAAGAATATTGGGTAGAAGTCAAGATTTCAATCCTTAGCCCTCAGACCAATAGTAATCTTGAAGAGAAAAGCTGAATAGATACAAAGCGACTACAGCACATTTCTATGTCACCATATGAGCAAATACTTAATGGTGTGATCTGAACTGTGTACCAACATACCTGAGTCCTGAAGCAACGTATCACAAGGGAGAAATCAGTACAGGCTAGAAGTAGTTAGGGAAAGTTTCTCTTCACAGAAACTGCTATATTTTCCCAACTTATTGCCCATAACTACATACAGCATCATCCATTCTGTTTTGATTGAGGTGAGGAGATACATTTATTGAAAAGAAAAAAAAAAAAACATTTCTTGTCCCCACCATAGTTTTTGTCCTATCTGAATCAGGTTGGGAATTGGGGTTAGAATTAATAAAGCTTAATTGGCTCTCTAAGGAAAACCACTGCAGAGTAAGGAATAATAAGTTCCCTGAGAAGGTTTTGCAAGCAAGCAAGCAAGCTCCTCTTCCTTTTATTCAACACCTCATCTGAATGAAGTCCAGATGATTAGATGCTTCCCCATAGACAGATACATCATTGTTGGCCAATCCCATTTTGATGTTTCCATGATTGTTACTCTCTGCTGTCCTTTCAGATGGCTGCCCAGGGCTCTGCTTTGGAAATGGACGATGTACCCTGGATCAAAATGGTTGGCACTGTGTGTGTCAGGTTGGTTGGAGTGGGACAGGCTGCAATGTTGTCATGGAAATGCTTTGTGGAGATAACTTGGACAATGATGGAGGTGAGTCATTTATAAAATGTTCACGTAAGAAAGGAATAGCCCAGCCTCTACCACAGTGGTGAACAACCTGGGGAAAATGAGGAATTGTCAGTATAAGTGATATTGAGTTATATGAGATCATACTATTTTTTCATCTCAATCATATTAAAATGATGTTATTTATGACCAGGCAATACTTCCGATTTTTTGCATGCTTTATATCTCATTTAATTCACATGAGATATAGGTACTATTATTTTCCCTACTTACGGACAAGAAAAGTAATGCTCAGATTGGGAATAATAAGTGACTTATCTAAGGTTACACAGCTAGAAAGTAGTAGAGCCAAGGTTCCAATTCAGGGCTGTTTGACTTCAGAGTTTGTTTTCTTGACTACTACACCATGCTTTCTCCCCTACCTATAGTATCTATCATACCAAATTAAATTAATGTGCCACTGTTCAAACTGTCAGATATTAGTGTAGCTTGCACTATATACACTGTAAAATATCTTTCTTTGTTTTTAGTTATTTAGAGCTCCCTCTTGTGTCTCTACCTCTTAATAACACTTTATAGCTTTCACAGGATGGTATCAAGACAATTCAAGGTAGAATTTTTAATATTTAATTCAAGAGCTACACATGCTATTTTAAAAAGCCACGTGTGGCTCTAAGGCCTCAGGGTAACCACTTCTCTTTTAGTCAAGCCAACAAAGCATATAGTACACTGTCCAAAGAGACCTCAAAACAGCCCAAACCACCTCTGAGTGTACTTAGAACAACAAATCCCCACTTTGCCCATACTTTCTACTCAAGGAAACATAAAATTAACAAAAAAGTTGTTTTCTAATTTCTGTATATTAGCTTAAAATGAAGTAGGTAATTAAATTTGACTCCTCACATTTCTAATCTATTTAGATAATTGTATTCCTTGCTATTTGAATCCAAACACTGGGCTTAAATCAATAAGGTAACAATGATAGCTTACGCATCAAATTGGATGTAAGAGTTTCTTCCTTTACTTGTTCTGGCCTTACAGTTAACCTTAAAAAGTTATAAAACTTGGCCAGGCATGGTGGCTCATGTCTGTAATCCTAGCACTCTGGAAAGCTGAGATGGGAGGATTGCTTGACCTCAGGAATTCAAGACCAGCCTGAGCAAGAGCAAGACCCCATCTGTACAAAAAATATAAAAATTAGCCAGGCATGGTGGCAAGTGCCTGTAGTCCTAGCTACTTGGGAGGCTGAGGCAGGAGGATCATTTGAGCCCAGGAGTTTGAGGTTGCTGTGAGCTATGATGACGCCACTGCATTCTACCCAGGGCAACAGAGTGAGACTCTGTCTCAAAAAAAAATAAAAGGTATAAGACCCTATGAAAATTAAGTGGAAGCAACTTTGTGATTAACACATTGACTGCCACACCAGAAAAAAAATTCCCTAGGGCCACGGTATTGTATTAAAACAAAATGATCCTTTCTAATTTGTTATTTTTTATTGTTTTCTGTGCTTAAGTTATATGCCATGCAATCCACGTTTTTAGAATTAAATTGTCAATATTAATTGTAACGAAAAGAACATCAACAAGTAAGATTTTCACAAAGCAACTGCAGGGTTTTGCTTCATGAGGTCCTAAGCTCAAAACTGGCCTGTGTTAAATGCAACTCACATGGCAGTCCATGTATTAAGAACACAGAACCTTGAAGTTACACTGTCTGGATTCAAATATTAGCTCTGGCTCCTACTTACTGGTTGTATGAGTTGGGGAAAGTTTCTTGGTGTCTCTTCAATTTCCTTATCTTTAAAATGGGGTTGATAATATTAACTGCCTGATAGGGTTATTATAAATATTAAATGAGATAATTCGAGGAAACACTTAAAAGATAACTAACTGTACCATACATACATACACACACAGCTTAGAATAGACCATTTTCCAAAGAGTCTGTTTACTACCCATCTAAATTGAAAACCTTGTCTTGGAAGCTAGAGTGAAATTTTCAATTAAATGATACCCTAATAAACTATTTAGTTGACTTTTATGGCCCTCCAAGACTCATCTTCACTTTCCTTTTCATCCTTTTCATTGTATGCTCCTTACGTGGTATGCCCTCGCCTTTCCTCTACCCATCATTCTCTGTCCATCATTTAGGCCTCAACTGAAGCCACATCTTCCAAACCTCTAACATATACCTCTTCAATCAACCATGGTGCTTATAATAAGCACCATACAATATACACTTAATTATATTCTGTCTATATGGTTTTCTTGTTGCATATTAAGCATGACCCATGGCCCATAGTTATATGTCCAATGTAATTAATAATAACAGTATCTCACTTGTATTCAGGATTTACTATGTACCAGGCACTGTGCATTTTTATTTAATCCCCATGATGTAAAAACTACTAATAACACTACTTTAGAAATTAGGAAACTGAGGCACAGAGAAGTTAAGTAAGTTGCTAAAGATCATATAGGAAGCAAATGATAGATCCAGGGTGTAAACCTAGGTGGTCTGCCTCATTACAAAAAGGATTTGATGTAATAATGGAAATTTCTCAATTGATGTATTGATTAAAAGGTTATGCTCAGAAAATGCATTAACAACTTATGCAATTATAATTTCTGGCTCAGTTGAGGTTGAGTCAAAATAAGGTTCTTGTCTTAGTAAAGTAATAAAAATAATTGAATATTTAATTATCAAGCATTTTTATGGCCTCAAGGTCACCTCAAGGCAGCCAAAAAATGTTTAATGAATGGATCAATTAAATATTAATAAATTCATGGATTATCAATTCTCGATGTCTGTGGCATATGTATAGATTTTACTCAATGTGTATTAACCTCTGAACATTCCTTTAAAACTGTATATCTATATGTGAATTAAAAATCAAAGACCCTGATATGAGTTCAGTGTATTTTTATGATTGTCTCTTTAGGGAGTAGGAGAGAAGGCTCCTTGAGAGTTCCAATTACCATTTTTTTCCTATAGTAGGATTAAGATAATATTGATGATAAATATAGATTCCGTTCTGCTTTGAGATGGAAAGATGGATTGACTAACCTCTGAAAAGCCCATGACTAAGATTTTAGACCAATAATTCCATTTTTATAATGTTTAAATATTACCCATAAGAATATATTAAATGCCCTTCATTTGGTAGTATCAGCTTTGCGACTATCCAGAATAGCTGGATTCATTTAGTTGAATATTACTAGTGATTAATATTTGCATACGTGTTTGTGCATATGTGTATATAAGTGTGTGTTTTAATTAAATCAGAAAGTGCCAATTGAATCTTTTTGAAAAAAGTGGTCCTGATTTGTAAAGTGTAATTTTTAAGAAATCTTCCCAATCAAAAAAAATCACTTTCAAGCAGTCGCTTCAAGTAGCTGCTACTTGATTACTCCATATTATAGCTGATACTTACAGAATGGCAGGATTTTTTTGCATTCTAATCAGCCTTGAATACTCATTAGTATTGCTGCCACTTCCTGCAGCTTTTACTTTACTTATACTCTGATTCAATGCATTATGACTCTTAGTAACTAATTGGGCTGCATTGAATATGTGGGTGACACAGCTGGTCCAGAAGCTACCTAAGAGCTTCTTGAACAATAAAAACAGAAGAGAGAACAAATAACCTTTGGATTTTTTTTGCTTAACGTGCAAAAAAGGAAAGCTATCTCATGTATTGTGTAGGTAAGTACTAATTACTATGGAAGTCACAAACCTATCAAATGTCTTCACCTCATTTATCCCTTTAGTCAACAAGAACTTACCACATGTACAACCCTATGCTTGGAGGAAATTTAATATTATGGTGACCACATTTTCATTTGTTAATAATGTGTCCTTATTTGGGGTTTGGAAAATATGATCACCATACATTACATGCACATATGAATTGACATAAGAAAAAAGTTTGAACCATTTATTAACCAAGTCAGAATAGTGAAAACAAAGAGGGGAAGCTTGAACTATCAGACACTAAAGTCTATATGAAAGCTATGATAATTAAAACAAAGTGGTACTAATGTAAGAATACATAGATTAATATAACCACATTAAAGCTCTAGAACACAACCAAGTATAAAAGTTTAGTATATTATAAAAGCAGCATCAAAAATCAGTGGGGAAATGAAGCATTATGAAATAAATGTTGCTGGGACAAGTATTAATACCTTAGATTTTCAATTAATACTATATACTAAAAGAACAAGATAAATGAAAACACTTCAACTGGATTAATGAGTTAAAGGTAAAGAAAACTGAAACACAATTAGAAGAAAATATAGGTTAAAGATCTTACAATGGGAAAGGACTTCTTAAAGGAAGAAACCATGGTAGGAAAAAATAAATTTGACATAGTAAAAGCTTAGAACTTTTTTGGCTAAATTTATAGACCATCCAATATCTAAATATTTGGAGACATCAAAATCTGCATTGTCTAGTATGGTAGCCAGTAGCCATGTGTGAGTATTTAAATTTAACTCAAACAACATTAAAAATTCAGTGTCTCTCTTACACTAATCACATCTCAAGTATTCAAGAGCCACATGAGACCAGTGGCTATTGTGTTGAACAGCACAGTACTAGAGCATTCTCCTCTTCAGGAAAAGTTCTATTGGATAGTAGTGATCCAGTTATTTAACTTAAATGTTTACCTTTCAACCAAAATTTCACATTGAGTACACAGTTTGCCAAGTATTGTGCTTGGCACTGGCAAGGAAATGATAAACAAGACAAGTTTCTGCCTTTGTGGAGCTTCCTTGTGGAGCAAGGAAGACAGATATTAAACAAGAACCGACACAAATAGCTATGTATTTACAATTATGAAGAGAAAAATTTTAGGGTACTATAAATGTGCGTGGGAATCTAACTTAGTCTGGGTGGTGAGGGAGGCTTCATAGGAGTCAGGGAAAGAATGTTCCAGGCAGAGGAAACAGCATATACAAATATCCTAAGGTAGAAATATACTGGGCTCTTCTAGGAAGTAAAAAGCTTTGTGGCTGGAACAC